CTGGCTCTTTGCCATTTATATTTTATTAGATAGGGTTAACTACCCCATTTCCGGCCTATTAAGCACAACCCGCATTTAGTCTTTCTTAATCTAGCGCAGTTTAGCACAAAACGGAATGTTATTATTACTGATGGCTTTCAAATTTATTTACCTTTCCGTATGTACCGTAAGATTTGATAAAGAGAAACCAATCGTTGAAATATTGTCTGTGTATTGCATTGAAACGCCATTGAAACGCCAATGAATTCACTTCGGCCTATCGGATGACGATAAAAATTGATTCGGTCGGAGTGTTTCTTTTGTTTTTGGGAATAATGGGTGCAAACCTTCTTATCACGCGTTCTCATCGAGGGGGGCGACACATCTAAATCGGAATTCTAGATTCTCAACAAATCTCACACTAGCGAATCAATCTTCGAAAAATCTTCTTCCATTTCTCGCATCTACTTTCATTGCACATCATCTTTTTGCAGGAAATCTTCAGAATCGTTATCAATCTTCTTTCTATCTACTCAGCGTCCGCGCAGCTTACCACAGCAAAACACAATTTTTCCTGCATCGTCGATAGAGTCACCCCCCTCGGTTCTCATTGACTTCGTTCCGTAGCTTATTCATTAAAGTATCGTACCAAACGCATAATTGACTTGTTAACTCTGAAATCATGGATTTATTTGAAGTTTTCTGCTCGATAGGTCCAAAATGGGCGATTAGGCCGAAGTGGTTCTCTACCCTACAACCAGTGTATTTACCGAGTTATTTACCAAAATTATTTTAATTAGGGTTTTTGATCTAATTTCCGTCCTACTAAGGACATCCCGCACTTTACCACGCTTTTTGGAAAGCGTTTGAACAAAACATGGAATGTTTTCATCAAAGATAACTTTTAAATTTATCCACCTTTCCATACGTACCGTTGGATTTGATAAAGAGTCAAACAATGTTGAGATATTATTTAAAATCTAACACTGCTTCTTGCTTCTAAATTCGTCCTACGCGTTTCAATTCCGTCCAAACGCATTGAAACGCCATTAGATTTTCTTCGTCCTACAGATAAACGGAGAAAAAGGGGATGCGCTAGGAGCGCTTCTTTTGTTTTGAGAACAATGAGCGTAAATATGCATACACTGCGCTCTAATAGGATTTATGTCGTAGCTAATGAACTAACGCATCGGAAGAAACGTATTATTGTTTTGTGCATGGTGAAATCATTGATATTATTGATGATTTCTGCTCGATAGAACGGAAATGGGCGATTACGACGAAGTAGCGCTCTTCCCTATTTCCTCCTTCTCTTACGTAGACGGTGGTGCGTACGTACTTGCGACTGTGACGCTAACAGTTTGACAGTTCATTACCGGATGTCCAGCAAACCGTTGTTAGCTGTATTTTTCGGTAAAAAAATATCGTTTACTGTCTTTCAGTAAAGCATTGCTTTGCTGATCATGATCCAGCAATCCGTTTTACTGAAATCTAAATCTCAAATTTGGTGTGTACGTCTTTGCGGACTATACTGGGGTGCAAATTAAAAAAAAAATGTGACTAAATAGTGTTAGGTTTTGAACGCTTGTAACTTTGTCATTTATAGATGTAATTCCAGTTGTCCCACAGCTGTCTACAGCAGCAGTCGAATTTTTATTTCGGTGTGAACCACGCGATAGCCTGTTTTTGAGACTCGCTATTATATAGTTGTTCTTTGTTCGTTGCTATCAGTTTGTGCCTTTTGTTGCTACGGTGCAAGATGTGTGAAGTAAAAAACACCATCAAGTTTAGCTTCAGCCATTATGATGCTAAACCTAACATCGGAGAGATTGTAAATTTCGCCAAAGCACTCGACGCGGATCCGGCTGAAATGGAAGCTGTTTATCGCATTGGTGAGGAAAGGGGAGTCGATGAAGCGATGCTCCATGCTCTGACATACAATTCGGAGGATTTAATCTTCCATTATGCGAATGGAACGACGGCAAAGGTACGCATGTCGCATGCTGGTGAATTTATCCAGTATGTGCGTGTATATGACTTGCCACCAGAGGTACCGGACAACGAGCTGGATAAAGTGCTGGGGAAATATGGAAAAATTAAACGCATCGTCCGGGAGAAATTTCCATCTGATCTGTGCTTTGAGGTTTATACAGGGATACGCGGTATATATATGGATGTGAAGAAGGAAATCCCCATGTCATTGTATTTCTTCAACCGCAAAGGAAATATATTTTATGATGGCAACAAAGATAAATGTTTTATGTGCAAGGCGGACGGACACCGGAAGCTTTCCTGTCCCAAGCAGAAGGCTCGGAAGGAACCGGAGAAGCAACTAAAGGAAAAAAGGAAAGCAAAGTGAAAGAAAACAAAACAGCAGCAGTACGTATGCTGGTGTAGTGGTGGAAGGTGCGTCGTTTGTCATTAGCGACCAGGAAACGGACACGGGGTTGGAGATGTTGAATGAAGATAACGAAATGGACGTGACGACCCCGACGACCGACGAGAGTAGCGGAAAGCATGCAACGGGAAACGATGTTCAGATGCAGCAGCAGCGATCACGTTTCGGGTTCAACGAAAATGAGGAACAAATTCGGGAAAGAAAGAAGTTGCGTGCACGGGAGAAGATCGCTTTGTCGCCGCTTCGATCGCCACCCAGGAAAATCCTTTAATAATATGCATTTGTATATCTTTTGTTTGTATTTTGAGTACCAAAATTGGTATTCCATGTTACTCGGCTCCGCTAAGTTATTCTTTTAGCATTTGAGCCTGCCAAATAAACAAAATGAAAAAAAAACCAAATACACCAATCGATAAGAAATAACTCTACTCTCCTGAAATAAATACTTTTCCATTTTTTCATAAAAAAATAACCTTTGAAAAAGTACAAATGATAATTGTATCACTGTTTTCAAGAAATACACGTTTCCCCCACAGCCAGTCGTCACAATCCTGAATACTGCAAACTCAGCCGATTTTATTTTTCAAGTGAGCTAGAAAACATCTTGAAAATCTTCCGAAGTTTCAAATTGTTTTGCCGAAACAGCTCATGAAATTGTATATACATGCTGTCAAATGCACTCTTGGCTCCTCCTCCTCTGCTCCAGAAATAACGTATACATGGTGATGGGAGTGCACCTGCCCACAAAGCTCCCATGACTCTTATAAAGTTTGATTACATTCTTGTTTCAGCAACCCAGTTTTGGCATTATTAATATCAAATAAAAACACTTTTTCGAGCATCACGCTCGATGATTTACACTATCCGCCTACTAAGGTTGATGTTTCAACAGTTTCATTATCATAATTCTTAATTTGCTTTCTGTAGGTGGCAGTGACGTCGCCTTAACCTCAATCTACCTGTGTACCAACTTTCAAAACATAAACTATTATCAAAATATTGCTTGCAATGGATAGATATCGAGTTATTTAGAAGATTAAGTGTATTTTTCAACTGATACGAGTACGAATATGGCATTAAATCTGTTTTTGAAAGTTGGTGCACGGGTAAAAAGTGAGGTTACGCGACGCCACTGGTAGGTGGAAACACCTTTACATGTGGTTCAAACAGTAACTATCTACGTGACTTCTGAGCTCTTTTGAATGTTTGGCTCCCATTTGACAGTTTGAATCGGCTCCCAGATGATAAGCATTTTGAGGTAGTTCGCAGTACTCAGTCATAATCGAGTACCACTTTGTTGCACATCGTTCTGCTTGAACCTGAAAAGGTATAAAAAAGCGCTGCTTTCGTGCCTCTGCTTATTTTCGCATCGGACGGCGTGGTACCAGCAGCAAGTCAGTGGTAAAAGGTGGAGTTTTTCCCTCTGCCGTCGTGCATTCGTCATTTGTGGAGAGTCGACCGGATGATATCGGACAGGTGTGGGATGAACTTTAAGTTAAGAACGATGTCGTACCGAAGCTCATTTTCGCATCGGAGAACGTAGTGGAGATCGAACAATCGTTCCTTCTCAGGACCACAAATTTTTACAGAAAGAGTTATTCCTGGGATAAATCGGCGGTATTGAGACTTACGTTCAAATATTACGAACCGCAAAAAATGTTACTTTTACAATACAGCTTTGGGTTTTCGCTCAATACTCCTATGCGTCTAGACAGAGGCGTTGCGTGCCTCATTTGTTTACCTGTGCACCAAACTTTGTTCGTTATAGTTTACCACCACATATTACTTTTTGTTTTATTTTTCAATGCTCCACGAATTCGAGGGACATATTCTCAATTACTATATTAATCACTACCTAACGTAACATTTGAAGGACCTATCATCTTGTGTAAACAAAACTTGTATGGCCCTTTTCTCGCTAACCAAAGTAGGAAGAATTGCAAAACTTAACTATGGATCTAAGATTGGGCCCATCGCTAAAAATCTGTTATTTATCAATTTTATCTAGATGAACGCGTCATTGGGACGGTACTAATGGATATGTTTGGTCGCTATTGAAATTTAGTCGATTGTTGAATTTATGTATGAGCCAAGGTCGAAAATTTAAGAGCCACACTATAAAATAGTGTATTCATGGTCACTTGTGGTCTGAAGTAAAGAAGTACAGCTAAAATGTGACCGTAAAATCTATGAAAATCTAAACGCATTTTGTTTTAAATTATTTACACCTGTGTCGTGCACAGTTTGTACATGTGGACACGACGCCACTGCGTCTAGACTACTATGCGTCGTGACCATGTTACAGTCGCTATAAATCGATGGAGACGCTAAAAAACGATTTTTGGACCACCCTTATATGGAAATGGTCACCCTAATGACAAAATAAAAAATACGGGTCTAATATTTTGCGATAAGGAACAAAACTACCAATTTTTACGAAATTCTGAGAACCACTGTATCGTTTTTCTATGGAATGGCTGAATATATTTAGCAGCAAAAATACTCCCGTAGTTCTACATCAACAATGCGGTCGTGCTTTGGACACAACCGTTACCTTTGTTTTAAATTAAGGATCTTCCTACTAGAAAATAACATGCGTTCTCTTAATTGAATCGATCCACAGCACATGTTACTCCAAGACCGAGAGATTATCGATCCCCGAATGTCGCTTCATCGCCCAAAACTAATAAAGTAAAACCAGTTGGAGGTAATTCTGAAACACACAAAAATCCTCCAAAAACATACAAATACACAACGAACAACAAGAAACCAAAAGCGGAGAAAGATATAAAATCAGATAGTAATCCTGAAACACCCAAAAAACCTCCAACTAAACACAAATACACAACTAACAGCAAGAAACCAACAGCGGACAAAGATGAGCCCAAAACAGTCAACGACCAACCTGTGCCTGAAAGTTCGAAGAAGCACCGCCACTCTTTTGACCGACAATGGGATATCCGTCCAGTTTGTACGATCGTTCGGCTGCCTCGTCATTTGGAGGTGTTCGATCCGATCAAAGATTGTCCTATCTGCCAGGAACAATTTCGATCGGAACGAGTCTTCCGTAGTCACCTCGCAAGCGCACATGGAAGCAGCAGTTTCCAGCTTGAAACTTTACTAAGCTTCGATCCTCGCAACGAACGGATCGAACATCAGGTGTTTAAACTGGACATGAAACAACTACCACGAGCGGTGCCTACATTTATGATAAAGATTACGAATAAGGCCACCGTACCCGTACTGCTGAACTCGATCTACGTCTTTGACGGGAACGTCAAGCTTATATCGGTATTTTCCGGGAATCAAGTACTGCGAATGGTTCCCGGCTATTGCTTCGAAGAGGAGGTGACACTCGACGATTTGGTGCTGGTCGAGGGTCGAATCTATTCGTTGACTATCTCCGCAACTCCCGTTGTTCTCGACCGAGACTTCGATCGCCAGGTTGTCGAACAGTATCATTTCACTGAGAAGGCGGCCACATCCGTAGGAAAAAGGTTTGTATATGATGAGGAGGATAATGTCTAGATGGGTAGATTTATTGAGATTGCAAACTTTTTTCAGGACCCCCATCAAGCTAAGCAAACTGCCACGGTTTGAAATTCCCAGATCGGTTGTAATTCTCTACAAAAGTAACTTCAAAACCAATGATTCCTATACAGCCCAGGAGAAGGATTTGAACGATCTTGTTGATTTGTCCCAGAAAGAACACATGCTCACGCTAACCAGGTACACGAAACAGATTCACATGCTCAATTTGTTCGAGGCTCAACATCTGCTACAGGAGTTTTTCGATTATACCATTCTGAATCCGGTCCTGACCACGACGGAAAATTCTCGACTCTACAGTGTATCGGTAAGTAGCAATATTAATCCTAGGGAATAAAAGTCGAATAGAAATTACGGGTGAAATTACTACAGTGAAAGAGAAAATGTGTTAACAAACGTTACTTACTTTTCAGATCGATCAATTCAAAAAGCGACCATCGCTTCTGAACGAAGAAGTGAAGGTCAAATTTATCACGGAAGGCAAATGTAAGATGAAAAAAACGTACGGAGTGGTTGACAAGGTGACTGCTACGAACGTTATTTTTCTGATGCAGGAGTTGATCGACGTCAAGAATGTCAACAAAGTGATGTTCATTCTGAATCGATCCTCGTTTCAACTTGAGAAAAACGCTCTAGGCCTATTGAGCACATCTTTGATCCAGAACATTTGCTTTCCGACTGCTGTCACGGCTACTGGCAGTCCACTGGAGAGCATCTCCGAGTAAGTTTTAGAGGTTGTAGAGGGCATCTCAACAGATCGTCTGAATGTCTTGATCTTTGCAGTTTCCAATGGCTCCGGAAGAGTATAGCAACCAACAAGGAACAGATGGTAGCTATTCGGAACATTGTCAATCAGACTTCATTTCCAGCACCGTACATTCTGTTTGGACCCCCGGGAACGGGTAAGACGTCAACACTTGTGGAAGCCATCGGACAAATCTACAAACTTCGGCCAACAGCGAACATACTAGTGGCTGCTCCGTCAAACTTTGCCGCCAACGCGTTGACCAGTCGTCTGTTGGACGTCATTCCCGACGAGAATATCTTTCGATTTTTTGCCTTCTCATGCATGCGTAAGCTAAAGGATATCGATTGGAATGTCATCGAAGTTTCGAATATAGCCGGACAGGTGTACAGCAATCTTTGCTACGAAGACATCTACATGTGCCGAGTGGTCGTAGCTACTCTAACCATGGCCGGCAGACTAGTGCAAGCGGATATTGTGAAGAAGCACTTCAGCTACGTTATCATCGACGAATGTGGCAGCGCCAAAGAGATTTCCGCACTGATGCCGATCGCCGGACTTGCAACGAATGGAAATGAAATTCACGCCAGCATCGTATTGGCCGGAGACCCGAAACAACTGGGACCGGTAATACAGTACGATTTCCTCAAACAAACTGTCCATGGTATTTCCATGCTTGAGCGTATGATGAACCTTCCATTGTACTCGAAAGATCCCATAACGAAGGAGTACAATTCACGGGCCATCACGCAACTTCGTGACAATTATAGGTCACACGACAAGTTGCTGCAATTTTGTAACAACCAATTCTACGATGGACTACTTCGGGCAAAGGCTCCAGCCGAAATCAAATCATTGGCCGTTGGATGGTATCGTTTGCCTAATCGACGCTGTCCACTTATCTTTTATCCAGTCGTTGGCAAAATGAAGCAGGATAAAAACACTTTCAGTATGTTTAACGAGACGGAAGCCCGTCAGGTCATGTTCTATGTAGGTGATCTCTTGCAAAATGGAGTCAACGGGAAGCCGATACAGCAATCTGATATCGGCATTGTGTCGCCCTATGCAAAACAAGTGCTGTTTTTGAAACAGTTCTGCCGATCGAAAAAATGGACTGATATAGACATTGGCTCCGCGGAGCAGTATCAAGGAAGGGAGAAAGCCATCATCATCATTTCTACCGTCCGATCCGGTTCCGATAACGTTGGATTTCTGTCCGATGTCAAGAGACTGAACGTAACACTCACTAGGGCGCGGTCACTCATGATAGTGGTTGGCAATCCGGAAACACTAGGGCAGGATCCGACGTGGAAGCAGTTTATTGAATTTTGCCGGCAAAATGGAGCCATTGCTCAACCGAAAGGTCCGAAAAGCTCTAAGACACCTAACACAAAAAAGACGACTCAACTGGAGGAGCAATCGGATAAAGCAATCATATCCAAAGCCTCTAAACCGTTGAATAGAAATGGAAACCAGCGACAAAAATCGAAACCCGCGCCAATTATACCTTTGCGTCCAAGGGTATCAGAGGGTGTCTCTTGGAGCGACAATAGAGACCAAATTCAGGAAATGATTAATAGATTTTACAATAATTCATTGGAATAGTACTAAAATCATCGACAAACCGAACTGAGTAGACAAGTGCACGATCTGAATTTTTCTACGGCATTTGGTAGTTTGAGTTAGTATGTTTATGAACAACTGAGATAAATGCACGATCCCTTCTATCACCTCAACTTTTTCGTCCCGCAATTTTCACCGACACTCTTTCGTAAGCAAACATCCCAAGAGATTCTTTACATATTTATAAACATCTGACTTAAGGTAATTTGTTTAGCAATTCAAACTACCGTTAGATCATACGATTGTATTGTCACCAAAATTTCCCTTGCTTATTTTCATCTTATATGCACAATTTCAAACTGCCGTATTCAATCGCAACTATCAGTTCTGTACTTTCATCACTTGCTCTAGCTAAAAAATTCACCTAAAGTCAGATATTGATATTAATCGATCGATTCTCTTCATCGGTTTTCTCTTTGAATTACTAATATTGTAATAAAATACTGGAGAATTCGACAGTGAACATGCATAACTGCAATGATCGATTCTCTTCGTCGATTTTCTCTTTCGTTACAAATTCGCTTGGATTAACATTTTTCGGTGCGTTTACTGTTCCTTTTGATAGCAGTGTTACAGCAGTGTTTTGGACAAATTTCTGAAAATTGTTTGCCTTAGCTGCAACATTTTAAAGAGAAAATCAACCATCGCAGTTAGGCGCTTATTGATACTCACTGTCGAATAATTTATCCAATACATTTCCAATCAATCAATTGGTTGTGTAAATGGTTGTATTGGCTAGCAAAAGCAAGAACCGAGAAATGTTAATCCAGCAAAATTGTCAACAAAAGAGAAGATGCAGAAAATCGATCATTGCAGTTAGGCCCTTATGATTCAGATTGTGCACTAACCTATCATCATAAAACCTACACTACCCACAATCGCATATCACTCCCATATTTGCTTGATTTCATTTAAATTTCTTATCGCGGGCCACGGCACTCTATCGATACGTGTCCTACTGTGCATAAAAGCATAACAATCACATCTTTGCTTGTTTTCTTATTCTAATTGGAGTGTTATGCGTTTATGGTTAGTCTGAATAATACATCGCAGAAAACGTTCAGCTAAGCCATGAACACGTGTGCATAGATCATTGATTAAACCCCACTTTTTGACAGGTCAGGGAGCTTGTTTACAAGGTGTTGGAATTGAATCGAAAGAACGAAATTTTACGTTGTCGTTTTACGCTTCTTGTAGTACCATTGAACGCTATTGAATATTTTTGAAATCGTTAAACCGGTTCCGGATATATGACCGGAACAAGTTCTGGTGGGTATGGGTCTGGAGACTAGCAGAAGGGATCTGAATTATACCAAAACTATAATGCGACGCATCGAACTTCATCAAAATTAAAAAAAACAAGGTCCCTTATTATGGGTGTCACTTCACGGCGAATACGAAGTGAAGTAACAACTTTTCACTCTCGGTGAACTGATTCTCATTTGCCCGGGAATTATTATTATTATTATTATTTAGCTTTATTTAGGAGGCTTTCAGCCTTAGGCTGGTTCGCCTCCAGGTTTGCCCGGGAATCACTTCACCATGCATGACAGCTTATCACATCATTTCGTCTTCACCGTGACGTGACGTGATTCCCGTAATAAGGGGGAAGATCAATGAAAGCCAAAGTCACAGCCCAGGGCCACAACCCATCATACGACACATCAAATTACATGGGAATTCTAAAACAAGATCAATGGCATCCAAATCGATTGTCCAGGAGTAAGTGGTCAGTATCTGGTTATGACCAAAACCCGTCATGCGACACATAAAATAACATCAGAATTCAAAATTAAGACCAATGACAACCATACTAAGTGCTCATCACATCAGATCATGTTCAGGAATCCAGGATCAGGATACACCGAGGGGGGCGACATCTCAATTCTAAATGCTCAAAAAATCTCACACTAGCGAATAAATCTTCGAAAAATCTTCTTTCATTTCTCGCATCTACTTGCAGCGCGCATCATCTTTTTGCAGGAAATCTTCAAAATCGTGATAAAATTTCTATCTACTCACCGTACGCGCAGCTAGCCACAGCAAAACACAATATTTCGTGCATCGTAGATAGAGTCGTCCCCCTCGGGATGCACCCAGGGAAGTTGCTCAAAGTTTGATTTACTTAGAAGGGTCAGATCTCACCATAGGTGGCTAAATTTAAGTTTTTAGATTGTGTTCGAAGTGATTTTGAAACTCTTGTAACATTTGCACTTTAGGATGTTAAATTCAATCCTGATCATTTTTAGAGCATAAACACTCATAGCGTCGTTACTGAACAAAGTTTAAGTCCGTGTAAGCAAGATCTCTGAACTGTTCTGTTGACCGGTTGCTGTTTTTAAATATTCAAGACATAACGAAATATCTTTGCAAACAACAACAAATCGGATCGCTGTTCATTTAAATCGACCAATAGATATTTTTGAGCAACAGAAAGGTTTTTCTTTTAAGTCGGTTTGTCGGTGTTGAAATCGTTCGTAGTTAACGCTGACCGCTAACGCGTTGTGATATCAAATGGTACAAAATAATGCACATGTATAAATCGTACATGTTTGAACATGACGATTTAATTTTTAAAATTAGTTTGAATTTATTCACATAGAAAAGCTTCGAAATATCCCTCAGGCTCATTTTTGTATTAGACTATTTTGAGCAACCCTAATAAAATGTGTATGGTTATTTTGCTTAACGACGTGTTCAGGGCACTCAGGGTATCATCCAAACCATTTGTGGAATAGTACTATCATTTGGGTTATCGTTCGGGGATGGTATTTTTATTAGGGAATCCTTGTTTTTTATTCGTCCGTATTATTTTTTCCGGATACTTGGACGCTGGAAAAGGATAGAATGTCCGATTAACATTCTACCTGCTAAAGCTCAAGCATCTAGAAATCCACATAAGGGGTACGGGCAAACAAAAAAACATCCGATAATAAGGATACTCGACTGTATTTACATATTTCAGAGAATAGTTTGCTCAAAATGAAGCGCTCAGTGTTGTCAAATGCAGGGCTGTTAGATTTTTAAAATTTGAACCGTGAAATCCACGATTCCTCAAAAGAAATACTAATCCGCGGCAAATAAAAAAGGCTGTTTTAATTGCTTAAAAATACCGTTTGACATCCGGACGCGTTCAGCACAGCTTTCGTTTATTGGACCTCTGTTTTGATAGTGATGAACTCGGTACTCAATGCAGCCCCATGTTCGTAAGTAAAAGATTGCATGCATCATCCTCCTTCGCAATTATCGTTTAAAGTACTTTCGTTCATGCATACCATATACTACGACTTCAGTAAAGCCGATTACGCCAGTATAAACTGCTTTTCCGTGTTTGCTGTGTTTGAATGGGTGCGATATCCTACGCAGGTGTTGAAGCTGCCTTCCTGCACATTCGATTGCCGTCAATGGATGGCAATCGATGTCCGTCGGTGATTGGCACTAGATTGCGGAACAGAGACCGACTATAAACTGCTTTCTCACGGGTAGCGATTGGGCTGAACTAATAAATGATAGCGATGTCAACCTAGCTGCTATCACTGTCTGTAACATATTACCACAGAGAACAGACATCCAAGTCAAATTCCTAAAGTGTGTAAGAAATTTAACTGCTATTTTGAATAGACATTTGAAACTAGCAATATCGTGGTGGCGCTAGTGTTGCTACCCATCGACGTCAATGACCGGCAGACGGCAAGTACGAGTTTCATTGGTGCGCAAATAAACAAGGTGTTACCAAGCGAAAACCTTTTCACAATTTTCCTAAGGATGCTAAATTGCCCGAACTACAGGAGATTTTCTTCTCACGAGGAGTGCAAGCGCTTGCAACGAAAAATTTATGTTCCGAACAGTTCCCCCCGGTAAGAGATGAACTAGCCTATGGCTAAAAATCTCTCTAATAAAGAAAAAAAAAAAAGTTCCCGCCGGAGGCTTTTTGAATTCCTGGATGAACGGATGCAGAGTAAGCAGTGTTCAAATCTTACAACATTTTTCTGAATTTAAATGAGGGCTAATTAGAGTTCACACCCTCACTGAATCATTTGAAGATACGCCGCCAGCGAACTTAAAAAAAAATAGTTTGGCTCCTGACTACTATGCCCATTTAAAAGAAAAACGGTTGTAGATCTACAGGAAACTGTAAAAGAGCTTAGTTTTTTATTCAAAAATAATGGTTTCGCAGAAACTCGATTGATTTCCGTTGTTTTGTCTTGTTTGTTTTGAACTGATTTGACAGTTAATTCGGATACACTGTCAATAAGATCAACCCAAATTTTAGTCCAGTTAACTCATTAATCGCAAAAAGAGATAACTCCAGTCGCAACATTCCGTATGGCGGCGGTAGTGTTTCTAACGTAATTTAATTTGAATTCTTATACATAATTTTTCGATAAATTTGTTTAAGCTTGGATGTCTGTTCTCTGTGATATTACTGTATGCAATCGCTCAAATTTGTTCCAAATAAGAAACAAAAAGAACAAGTTTACTCTGACTGGACCAACTCTCGCTTGAAACGTTAGAGGTTAGAAAGGTTAGAAGGAAAGAATTGAAAAAAATCAGCAAAGCAAAAACTGCGTCGTCGAAAGCCCGTTACCTAAGAGCCAATATTGTATATAAAAGACTGAATAAGCAGTTATTTCACGCACATCCAAATCGTTTGCAATAAAGTCTAAAATGGAAACCGCAAGGAATTTGGCGCTACGTTAGTGATCAACGAAAAACGACTTCCTTCAATCACGACTACCACTAACCTTGTGACATTTACTTCTTTCGTTGTTCGCCAAATGCGGAGAAAGGTTCGCAAGAAGATGCGATTTATACGGATATGTCGACTTCTTTCGAAAAAATTGATCACGAAATCGCCCTGGTCAAGTTTGACAGATTAGGAATTGACGGTAATCTTCACTCTTGGCTGCGCCCGTACCTGACTGGACGGAATATGTCCATCAAGCTGTTAAGTCCGGAGTACCTCAAGGCAGCCATCTTGGACCATTCCTTTTCCTTCCATACATGAACGATGTAATGAACGTCCCGGAATCAGGCTTCCGGAAATCTCACGCGTACACAAATGCGAGAGCGAGCTGTGAGACGGAGCGTCGCATGACTCTCAAATCCATGGTGTGCTACAAAAATTGTACAAAAGAGAGACCAGAACGATGCGCGCGACAAGCTACACGCTCTCAACAAATTCGAGCGTTTCAATTTTTTTTGTCTCATCGCATTGCACTCTCAATGCGACGCATGTATTCGATCACATGCGACTGTTTCATTGAAACATCTCAATGCGCTCTCTCAGGGCGCCATCGCCGTGTGCTGTTTCGCATGCCTTGACTGTCGCGGTCCCATCATATGTGATGTTGTCGGGTGACGAGAGAAGGGACTGGAAGGGTTTGTTCACAGAAGACTTGTGTGCCCTTTTCGCATGTGGCTTTTGAAATGGGGTGAAGTTTTTAGATGGTTCCAGAAATATCTTCTAGTATAGATTCAAGCAGGCTCAACACATGGTTCCAGAGATATACTGGAATCACCGTAAGATCACCACTCATGCTCCTAGGAAGACGCAATTGCTTGTCGAAAGGATGCTAAAGGAAGGTTGGGATACCGTTAGCATGTTAGCACCCCAAATAATACCGGAATATCTCTGGAACTATGTGTCCTTCAACAAGTCCTTATGCGGAAATCTTCTAAAATACATTTTTTGGAATCCTCTGAAGCTTTTAGTCCATTTGGTGGAAAAATAAACAAGTTATTGCGCATTTGCGCCAAATTAGACTGCCGCGCTAAAAAAATCCCTCAGAATGCTTTTACTCACACCAGTAAAAATATAAATGGACGATTTTGAATGTAAAACAGCACTATATTTTACTATACAAGATCAAATGGTCGGCGTTAAGTCAAAATCGACTAAGTAGCAAAATAAAAACAAAAACGAGTTAATGATATCATAAGATCAAGAATTCCCTCAGCTACATTTCACTTTTTCAGCCAGATTTGAAAAATTAGAGTAGCAAGAGAAAACGGTCAAATGATTTGTCCCATTACATAAGACACAATATTGAACAGCCAACTTTAAATTCGTTTTTCTCGAAATCAAAAAAAAAATGTCACGGTTCGCAACAGGCTAGTAATGATAGAACTCTGAAGATTAATATTTGTATTTTGTCTGTCTTGAGTGAACACTATTTTAAGGGATTATTTTCAACGCAAAAGTGTACATTGCTGCAAAAACATTGGTGGTGACTTCTCATTACATACACACAAGTCTACACTTAAAAATTAACCAAGTTTAACATGTTGTAAATTTGTTCTGTTATGATCAATTGAGCTGAAATTTTGACTAAAAACTTGCTTTTCCATTGACCTTTGTCCGATCAGCTATGTACAAATTTTAATTTTAATGTCACCTTCCAGCAGGTGCTTCAAAAAAATTGGTATTTCTTTTTGCGTCAAAATTTCAGCTCAATTGATCATAACAGAATACATTTACAACATGTTAAACTTGGCTAATTTGTATGAAAACGACCTTTGTCCGATCAACTTTGCACCACAGTGTACGTAGGTACGAAATGCTGGATTAGGGTTAATGTAATAAATTTAAGAAAAAGTTGTGTCATATCTGAATTACGGATTGTTACTAAGGTTCTTGCTTCAGGAATTGTATTGAATACCTGTCAATCAACAAAACTTACTACGGCAGCATCTGAATTCTTCAGATGTGTTAGTGCTCACAGGATAGTTCATACCAGCCACCATGGTGCTGAATTGAAACAATCAATTTGCGACAGCAGATTTCCAAAAAGTCCTAGTGTTAGTACCGTGGACCCTTGGTGAAATTGAAAAAAAAGCATATTAACGAGCAAATAAACCACAACTTGATTGTACATTTCGCTTACCAAAGCCACATCTCTTCCTTCGTTCGTTATGAATGGGCTATTTTTCAAGTTAATCCTTTAGTCAACGAAAATTGCCGCTAGAAAAACTTTGTTGGTCATAGCCATCTGACACCTCTTCTCCATGTTCGATAAGAGTGTAGTAGCTAGGTCGCTTTCCATCGTTTTCAAAACAAAACAACACTTTTCCCACATCAAGAACACAAGTTGGTCTTCCAGTTGAGTTTATTATTTCGTGTCGCATTGAGACGTCGCTTAGCGACGTCTCATTGAGAAAAGCGCATGAGCTTCGCCTCACGCGACGTCGCATGATACGCGTTCTCATGAAACGCACACATCCGGAAATGCACTGTAACTGGCGAGTACCCATTAATTGGTGAAAAAGTACCCATTTTGTGGTAGTGTATGGACCTGTCAAAAAATGCGTAAATGAAAATTTCAAATAGTGGGTACTTTTTCACCCATTTCCGAAACCTGTTCAGGGATCAAAAATGGGTACATATTTACCCATTATTGGGTGAAAAATATCTTTGTTGCACCATAACGTTGCTGACATACTTGGTTTACATTTTCGAGTACATTTGTTCCGAAAACTACAAAAAGTGATATATATGAATAGTTTAAAGAATGGTGATAGCTTCAGAAAGCTTCAAGGTAAGAAATGCTATATGATTTGAATGATTTCTTAGCTTATAACGTTTTTAAAAGCATATTTGTTTCATTCCACAAATTTGAGTCCCATAAATACATTTTAAAAAATGGGTACTTTTTTACCCAGTTACGGAAAACAATGCGTTCTGGAAATGGGTAAAAAGTACCCCATGATTTGACGTATAAGCTCTTTACCCATTAGTGGGTAAAGATGTTTTACCCATTTTATGAGTTTACCTACTTTACCGCGAAATGGGCACTTTTTCACCCATTAATGGGTACTTTCCAGTTACAGTGTGTGCTGTGCTTACAAAACAGTGCGACACACAGACATTATGAGAATGTGAGATGCGACAAAACTGAAGAGAGAGAAGCAGAGTGCTTCAAATCTCTTGCGCATGAGACTGCTATGACTATGAGACTATTCGTATTGCGTCTCGCATACGGTAGCGCGCGCACTGGAAGCCTGCCCGGAATGCCACAACTTACGCTGACGACCTCAAGCTATATTATGTTATCAACAAACCAAGTGACGCTTTAATTCTTCAAGAACAACTAGAGGCCTTCGCAGCTTGGTTATTTCCTTTGGACGAAAACGTCCACTGGCTCTCCACGACTACGTTTTAAGAGAAACCTTTCTAAAACGTGACAGCACTGTGAAAGATCTTGGAGTACTTCTTGACTCTTCACTGACGTTCAAAGATCAAGTGTCATATTCGAATGTTTATTGCTCCGGGTTATGCATCACGACATAATGCATACTTCGATTTAAATTTGTTGAAGAACGCCTTCTCCTCGCCTGCATAACCTACACAGAACATCATCTGAAGTTAATAGATTCTTTCGCGTTCACAGGAGAAAATACTAAACTAAAGCGATAATAGCGGAATATATCCTTCGCTTGGCCATAAGATCCTATACTACCCATCATCGCATATCAGTCCCATCTTTGCTTGATTTTCTATCCATATGGGACTGATATGCGATTATGGGCAGTATAGGTAATCGCGCACTTTTCTAAAAAATGTTTTCGCGTCTGTTTAGAAACAGGTCACACTTCGATCTCTAAAATTATACTCCACTATCAAAAAAAAAAAAAAAAAAAAAAAATAACTGGAAACAAGCCTTCAAAGCCTTACCTTCTGTGATAACGTAGCATTCCAAATCATGGGTCAAATAGCGATTATGTTTTCTCATGTTAATGGCCCAATCTATATTTGCAATTTCTTACCGCATCGCATCAAATTGTGAGGTATTAACGAATTTATTGTGTCAGTTGAGAACCAAGAATTTTGGTGGACAGGCGGAGAACACTACATTCAATCCTTTTATCAAGTGAGTACTTACCGTTCTTAGAAGAAATTCGATCAGGTGCTTAGACATCCGCAGCCTAAGCTTCTCTTCCGTTTCTTCGTCTTTTGTTCGGAAATCTTTAACAATCTCCAGTATTTGAAGCAGCTGCTTTTCTCTTCCTTCGCTTTGCTCTTCTTCGCTGAGGGTGGCCGTCCCGCTCAAATTTCTTGCTGCACCCATCCCTAGTTCGATGCATCCATCGTTGGTCCTCCAGCTTTTTCAGAGCTTTCAGGAGTTAATTCCCGATCAACGCGCGCCTCCTCCACCACCCTGCTGAAACAGTCCTTTGCCGAAAGAGAAAGTGCCCTCCCAGACCGAACCGGATTCTTCGATTGTTCATATTTCTCTGAATTCTTGGACGATTTTTTAGACTTCTCCGTTTTCTTCAAGTTAGCCGAATTCTTGGATTTATCGGACTTCTTAGCCTTCCTCGACTTCTTTGGTTTCTTCGGCTCCGGTCCATCTGGTGTTGCCGTCTGACTGGCGCCGATATAAGCCTTATTCTTCCGACAGTATGCAATAAACTTCTTCCAGTGCAGATTCGATCGCAAAGTCGTACTATCACCGACAACAATCATCAAAGCTTTGGCCCGAGTAATCGTAACGTTCAATCGCTTAACATCGGACAGGAAACCAACATAATTGCACTGGGACCGAACCGTGGAAATGATTATAATTTCCTTCTCACGCCCTTGGTACTGTTCAGCTGAGCCAATCTCGATACCTGTCCAGTCATGGGCCTTACACAATTCCCTCAAGTGCAACACTTGACGAGCGTATGGAGATATAATACCGATTTTGCTTTGCTCTACCTTATGTCCGTTTATACCATTGGTGAGAATATCTTTAACATAGTCCAGAACAACTTCACCTTCTTCGACATTGTACAGACTGAAACTGTTATTATCTAGTTTAATCTGCCCGGTGACGGACCGGAAGATCAGTGGGCATTTAGGATTGGGAAGTCGATGCCATCCGAGAGCCCAGTCCGTAATCTCGGGGGGAGCCTTCGCGCGCAGCTGACCATCGTAGAACGTGTTGTTGGAAAATTGCAACAGCTTTGTATGTGACCGGAAGCTATCACGGAGCTGCGTAATGACCCGCGTATCATACTTCATGGTTGTCGGATCCATCGAGTACAGATCCAGTTTCATGATGCGCTCCAGTAAAGAGGTGCAATGAGTGGTTTGCTTTAGAAAATCGTACCGAATTACGGGTCCGAGCTGCTTCGGATCGCCAGCAAGGACGATACTGGCGTGAATTTCCCCTCCGCACGTTGCCAGCTCAGCAACCGGAACCAGGGCCAAAATTTCCTTAGCACTGCCGCACTCATCAATGATTACGTAGCTGAAATGCTTATCTACAATATTGGCTTGTACCAAACGACCCGCTGTTGCCATTGTGCTCACAATCACTCGCGCAAGGTAGATATCCTCGTAGCATGGTAGATCATAGTCTTCGTCGATCAAGTTGGACACCTCCAGTATGTCGCCATCGATGTCATCTACCTTGCGAAGGCATTTCCGAGAGAAGAAACGATAAATACTCTTCTCGGGCATGCCTACCAACAGCCGAGTGGTGATTTCATTGGCCGCAAAGTTTGACGGAGCCACCACCAGGATGTTTGCGGAAGTACGTAGCCGGTAGATCTGACCGATGGCTTCCACCAGCGTGGATGATTTTCCCGTCCCTGGTGGGCCAAACAGGACGTATGGAGCCGGGAATGAAGTGCGGTTGACAATGTTCCGTACGGCCGTCATCTGTTCCTCGTTGGAGGCGATGCTCGTGCGAATCCACTGGAAGCTGTAATGGTCATAAGATGAGTGTTTCATTGTTGTAGAATTATGCTGAATACTGGTTCAAACAGAATTTGAGGTTGTCTCCCTTAAGTCCAGTGTAATTTGACCCATATCAGTCCAAAATTCAAGGAAGACAGATTCCGGTAAATGGCCCATTTATAATTCCGCCGGGAAACGTATCATTCCGGGAAATGTCACTTCAGGACACTATTATTTTGAACAATTTTACCCAGTATCTCACTTTCTGGCAGGTGCTTCGAAAAATTTGGTATATTGTAATCGTAAAATTGAACATATTTGTAGTTCTGTGACTATGGTTTCAGCTCAATTGATCATAGCTTGAGCTTGAGCTTGCTTGAGCTTGATTGACCGCCCACGGTTGCTACTCTGTTACTGCCAGATCAGCTGTAATTACACAGAGAACCAATAGACGATGCTTGGGACTAGCAATCATCCTCAATGTGTAAAAACTGGTGATCTTAAATTAGGCAATACCAGCGCCGGCCGCGCCCGAACACAGGTCAAGAAAGGAATGGGAAGGATTGTGTTGACATGACACTCGCTTTGATGGAAGCCGAGAACACCTCTGCACTTCCACGAGGAATCACTGGGATGTTGGATAAGAGGGTTGGGTTTGCAGCAGGGTTCGTTTTGGTAAACGATAAGCTGAATTAATGTCCTAACGATCATATAACGCGAAGGAGCTTGGGACTAAACCCACGGTCTTCTGCTCAGTAAGCAAAAACGTTTGCCACTAGGCAGACGAGCACCTTTTTAATCACCGAGTTGCTGTTATTACCATGTAGTCATATTAACAAATAAAAAGCAATTAAATTTAATTGCAGAAATTTTACCGAAAAGTTCAGCTGTTCAGATTTCGGTAAAAATTACCGAAGTCGGCGATAATTTTTAAGTGTGCAGGGCCTGTTCACACGATCTTATTTGGTCCTAAAACAATTTTCTCTTATCATCGAACTCATACAAGCTCGGAAAACGTTTCCGAAGTCAAGTGGACGCATTCTCAAACTGTAAATTCGCAATTCTAGACATGGTTGGACAAACTCAACAGTATCGGTCAGTCTACGGCCACAAACACAACTTACGACGTAATTTCCTCCAATGGTTTACGCTCCATACCGGAGGGGAATAGAATGTCCTCCTTCCGACATTCGGACAAAAGACTCAGCGCTTGTTGCTCCAGCTGGAATGTTTCTTTGTTGAAGTGAAACTCGATCCTAATGGCGTTGGCTCCTATTGGAATATGCTCATACAGCATAATAATAATCATCGTCGGCTCAACGCACTCTACTATGCCTTTGTAACATGCGACTGTTTGTTGAACTTCGACACTTATACAAACGAAGATGTCCTCGTCAATCAATGCTGGACGATTCTGGAACTGATCAATCTGCGAAAACGGTACGTTAATTTTGCCCAGTCAAGCTTTTACTAACATGGTACATTACATACCGATAGAGTATACAGGATCTGCTCGTATTTCGTACCATCTTTGCATTTTTTCACTTTCTTCACTGTTTTAAACTTTGGCCGTTCAATTGTATACCCTTCGAATTCGCACCGCAAATGTTCGGCTTCGATTCGATTCAGTAAGTTTAGCTGTTTTGTGTAGTTATCGATGGTGAGCGATGAAGGCTTCTTTGCATTTTCCACCTGGTGAAGGATGTGCCGTTCTTGGGGTCCATAGGTGCCTCGTTTTCTGAAATTGTTTTGGTACAAAACCTTGATTGCCTCTGGGATCACATAGGGTGGAAGTTTTGCCAATCTGAGACGAGTCCTGAAAAAAATGCCCAAACAGTCAGACTCATACTAAATCGTTAAAAAACCATCACGTAATTACCCAACAATTCGATGGTTCTTCTTTTTTGACTCCTTGAAGTGATACTGCACAACGATATCGTACGGTAGACGTTCACCATCAATCGGATTAACTGTAACCAAGAGTGAATAAACGCAATCGGCAATCAAACTGAGTCCTTCGAGATGAATCTCATCCTCGTGACAATAACCGGAAGCCATACGCAAAACTCCACCCTCGACAAATATCGGAATCAACGATTCATTGCCATCAAACACGTACACAGACTTGAGCAGAAGGGTTACAGTGGTTTGGTTTGTAATTTTCAAAAGGAAGCTTATATCAGCTCGGGGCAATTGCTCCAGATTCACCTCCACAATTTTCCGTTTTATTATATGATTGCGTTTGTCGATACTCAGCAGCGACGAAAGGTCAAATCTGTCACCATGCGATCTGATGAAGTGGTGTTGTAGCACCCTGTCCGATTGGAATGAAGTTTGGCAAAAGACGCACCATTTTCGGGAGCCCTGAAGGTCGATGTGCTGAGGATCCTGAGGATGGAATCGTACGATCGTGGTTGTTTGGTTCACATTCCAAGAGCGCACAACACCCAGATATTCCTTTCTTGTCTTCCGTTTCTGTTGGGACTTGTTCTTCTTTGATCCTCTCTTATTGTTCCCGCGTTTCTTTGCCGGACCGCTCTTGTTTGAGGCATCCTGAGCTGATTTTGGTATCTCTGGCTGACGATCCGACGGCAGCTTCTTCTTTTCTGTACAATGGCTCTTGGAAATTTCTTTCTTTTGACCAATAATGACTTCATCATCCTTTGATGCAACGTGAGCTGGTTTTGGTTGTTCTGATTGATGTTCCGATGATACTTTCTTTCCTTCTTCGTCTTCGTCATGTACTTTGGTAAGTAAAAGAGGTTAATCCCAAAAAAATGTTTTAATCCAAAGCAATACTCACCATCCGAAATCCGTCGAAAGAAATTAGTTTCCACACGACGTGCGAACTGAAGATATTATAAATATTGAAGATTTATTCAGAATAAATAAGATTCGAAAGTAACCCTAACCTTCAAACGAGAATCATATCTCCAAAATTTCCTATTTACTTAAACCTAAATACTAGCTACTTACCAGCGCGATGGATTCAAGCAGTTCGTCAAGTGTGTAATTCATGTCGTGGTTTGGTTCACAGATTGCTTAAATCATCACGGACATATTCGAAGAATAACATGAACAAAATACACAAGCTTCACAAGATAACAATATTTTGAACGAAAAGTATTAAAATTAAATACCTTTTGACGATAAGGTATTTCAAGCTGAACATTCCATTAGGTTTATTTTTTAAACGTCATTGCTATGCTTCACTTACACACTTACAACCAACGTAAAACCCTCTTAGCGTAAAACAAACACATGCTTCAGCAATCTCTACACTGAACCAAAACATCCGCCGAGATTAGTGACGTTTAACGCACACACACTAACGGGAGTCTACACGGATAGAAATCTCCTTATACCTTTTGGCAAATTTCTATTGTTGATTATTCATAAAATGTATAAGTGAACTAATAAGCAGACGCCTTGCAAAAAGTTAATGAAGATCATGTGTCAAATGAAATGTATAAGCGGTCACACATACCTTTTATGCATTCTTATAGAACTTATGTGGTTTGTCTTATGGAATGTATAAGCACAAACGAAGTGACAGACGGAGAGTTTGTGGTATAAGGTTGATGTTTTGGCAAAAATGTATAAGTGAAACACATGAATAAAATAATTGATTTTCGTTTCGTGTACACCGTGTAAAGTTGTTTATTATTTTCCTCTGGCTAACCTAAAAATGTATGAAATTAGATCTGTAAAAATGAGTTTGACTGCGATTTGTTATGTATTTTCCTCGGATTTCCACTAACACGCTCTCACATATCGCACCAATACAACCGGACGTGAAAATCTCAATACACAACAATAAATTGGCTCCTAAACAGGGTGGCCATACCTACCGATTTATCGGTAGTCCTACCGAATTTCGGGATGCCTACCGATTCACAGACAAAAGGTTCAAAACTACTGATTTTTCACTTTTCCTACCGAGAATCACAGATTTTAAGTAATCTTGAAAAATGTTCAATACCTATGTTTTGTTTTCCATGAAGTCAGTCAATTTGATCGAACGCGGTGCGTTTTGCAACTTCAATCCAAACGTCTCTGTCTCATAGCGGAGATGCTATTTTCTGTGTTTCCCTTTTTTTGGTTCCGTATTCCGTTCGTCCTACTCACACTTACTTGTTATGATTAGACTAGAGTTGGTGTATAATGAGTTACGCCTAGAGAAAAACAGTTGAACTCGCATCACTGTTTTTGAAAGATTCCCCTTCTTATCACTTGGCAACAGAGGATCTACATCAACTTCAAATGACTTCTAGCGGGAAAAATAAATAGCGGCTGTACTAAATCATTATATCAATGATTTTGTCGAATTATCTTATAAAAATAGTAGAAATTCTCATTACTGATCATTACCAATGGTATCCCATGACAATTGCGTGTTTATGATCATTTCTTCGATTATATTTTATATTTTATTGCAATACCTTTCGTGTACCTTTCATAGCATTGTAATGTTTGTTTACTTTGCACGATAGGTAGCCCGACACCGACTGTAGATTAGACTATCCAATGTGTGAGGTTGAAGAACTGATGGCTCGGTTCGAAAGTCCAAAATTGCGCGTGATTTGTTATCATCCTTCCCCCGCTCACATAGGTTTTATGTTTCGGGAAGCCTTCTTATGACGGCCTACCCGAGCAAAGTCCAGCATCAAAATGACAGCAAATTGAAATCAAATTTTGATATCAACATCAAACTGAAATCATAATTTTATTTCAGTTTACGCAATGGACAAATTTGATACCAAATTTTGTTTTCATTTTGCTGTACATTTGCTACTCAAAAATATGTTGTTGCGGGTTTGTATTCATTGCCTTAGCATAATATCCAATTGAATACTTCCGGAGAACTTTGAGATTTGGGCGTAATTACTTTTGTAAACAAACACGTCAATCGCCAATTTCTCGCAATTTGAAGAACATTCTCGCGAACAAACTATACCAAATGATAGAGGAACCATTCTTCTACCTGTTTGTGTTGTTAGATTTTAAGATAAAACTTTAATTCGCGAGAACTCGGTAAATTCATTTTTGTTTACAATAGCAATTACACCCTAATCTCAAAGTTCTCCGGACTTGTTTTGTTATCAACATGAAAAAATGATATCAAATTGAGTTTTCAGTTTGCTCTCACTGATAGCAGAATTAGTTTTCAATGTGATGTCACAGGCAGTGTTGGAAAAGTTCGCGATATTTCACGAAGTTCTCCAAGGGAAAAGTTCGCGAGTCATAGTGATTTTTTGCGAACTTTTCCATCACTGGTCACAGGAAGATTTTTTTGCTCTCAATTTTGATTTTTTAACCGTTAAAACGACCAAAATGACAGCAACCTGAGTAATCATTATAACCGAAATCACAACATCAAATTTAGATTTCAATTTGATCTCAGGCTTTGTTCGGGTACCGATAACTACCGATAAAAGTTTTGAGAAGCTACCGATATTGAAAAATAATAATCTGGCCACCCTGCTCCTAAAGGCCCAAACGCAATGTGGACGGAAGCGGAACGGAAACGGAAAGTTTGACAGTTGTCACAAATGACATCAAGATGCCTACACGCTAACTTGAAAGTACCCATTAATGAGTAAAAAAAGACCCATTTTGAAGAGAAGTGGCTTAACTCATTAATGATTAAACAATTTTACCCATTAATGAGTATCTGTTACCCATTAATGATTAACAATTACTCATTAATGGGTAACAGATACTCATTAATGGGTAAAAAATTTACTCATTTAATGAGTTAAGCCATTTTTTTTCAAAATGGGTCTTTTTCAACCATTAATGGGTTCTTTCAAGTTAGCGTGTAACCGAAGTCGATTTGGTTCCAACAAGTTTTCAATCCGACAAGATGGCTTACTCATATCGGGCTTTTCCGCTGCCGTTGCCGTTCCGCTTCCGCTGTCATTGTAATTGGGCCTTAACGCTTCTAACGTATCGCAACAATACACGCTAAAGGCCGATGCACAATAGATACGTTTTCGGGTTTTTTGACAGATAACGCATGGGCTAACTGTCAAAAACACTGAAAACGTATCTATTGTGCGCCGACCTTAAGATGCACATCAGGCATAACATTAACATTAGGTGCAGAGTGGCCAGATTATTTTTTTCATTATCGGTAGCTTCTCAAAACTTTATCGGTAGTTATCGGTAGGTCGACTTAAGAAGGCTTTCCCTATACTTGAAACTTTTGTGAGCGGGGGGGGGGATGACTCTGTGCTCTAGAACAATACACTGTCCTTCAGTTCTTCTGGTTTAAGCGTGTCGAAATCAACTTTTCTATTTATAATCTAAAAATCTGTGATTCTCGGTAGGAAAAGTGAAAAATCGGTAGTTTTGAACCTTTCGTCTGTGAATCGGTAGGCACCCCGAAAATCGGTAGGACTACCGATAAATCGGTAGGTCTGGCCACCCTGATTAGGTGATAAATGCCCCTATCCGATGATGTTGTTGGTGTGCGTGAGCGTACTTTGGTTCGCGTGGAAAGGGCCTTAGAATGTTTGTTTACAAATGCTTTTGTGCCGTTAACAAATGTTATGCCTGACATACCTTAAAGTCGGTAAAGAATACCTAAATATCGGTAGAAATTACCGATAATCGAAGAAAGTGCACATACCTAAATTATCGGTAATCATGGATTACTAATAATTAACGTTAAATATTACCTAATTTATAGTAAAAAATAGCCTATTTAAAGTAAAAAGTAACAATTTTTATCGGTAAAAAATACCGATAACTTTTTACCGATAATTTTAGGTAATCGTAGCTAAGAGTGTAGGACTGGGTCACATTGCGAATCTCATTAGCATTATTCATGTGTTCATTTTTAGTAAACAGGGCCCCGCTGTTGTGTCACTTTTTGTCGAGTGAGTAAACTCAAAGTCATTCTTTACAAAAGCTGTTACGCCCTAATTCGTCGATGTCGGTAGTAAAACTATATCCACCTATATATATCCGTGCTAATATTGGTACATCCTCATGTAGCCTAGCATGTAGCACTAAGCGATAAAGTAAAATGATGACAATGTAAATGATTATTGCTAGAAAAATAAAAATGGTTCAATGTTTTTAATCCTGTGAAGAAATTTATAAATTCAAAAGAAACCAAAAATCAAAACAAAAACGCAAAGCAATCTAAAACCAGCATACAGCAAGAATAATCACTGCATTTATAAAGTATATTTAAACCACAGACAAACAGACATAACACATTGCATATTTCTCATTGTAATACCCCGTTCACATTACAGCCTATATCACGTAATATAGGCTGTCTTGCATTGAGCACTCATACATAGGATTTCCAGTGAAAACTAGATGTATGAGTGCTCATTGCAAGACAGCGTATATCACGTGATATACGCTGTAATGTGAACGGGGTATAAAACATCGTCGCTATAACATTACCGCCATCTGTTGAATACACTGTGGTGGGTAGTAAACTGAACAGATGGCGGTAGTGTGTAAACGTCAAACGCAAGGATATTGACTATGCGCGCCATAGGTGGCGGTACTACCAACTACGATACTTTTAAAATGACCGTTAAATGCTTGTTCGATGAACAACTTACGAGTGTTATGTCTGTTTGTCTGTGTTTAAACTGTACTATCCTTAATCCAGTTTTATGTATACTATAGGCGTTCATTCTCTGTCTTTATACCAAGCTGCATCGGTCAGGAGCTCGGTCAGGAGAGTTGCGATTTAGTGTAAAGGCCGGCGCACAATGGATAAGTTTTCGGGTTTTTTGACAGTTAGCCCATGCATTATCTGTCAAAAAACGCGGAAACTTATGCATTGTACGCCAGCCTTAACTTTTATACTATTTAGATTTCAATATTTTTTGAGTGTACTCATTGGTCAATGCTCTGCACGGAGAAAAAATAGTATCCTCAATTTGACTCTCACTGGCACTCATTATTGTTGTCAAAAAAGGAACGAGAGATTCGACCCAACGATATAATATATTATAATATTATATTATATATCGTGTATACAGTGTATCGCAAAATTGAGCGTACGATTACCATTCAAGATTCTTGTTTTCTCCATACATTTTCGAAAAGAAAACTATATTAGAACCTTTTAACTTACGATTTGAGAATTTTTATGGTAATGGTTATGGTAGTCAGTAAGGACCATGGATGGGTTTTGTATTGTCGATCAACTTTACGTGGAATATACCGCGAATTGGTTATCATTAATTTACAGGCAACCTATTTTTAAGCATTTTTAAGTTTGCACGAGGTGCAGCTTAAAAACGGTCAGATTAGCGGGAGTCCCACGGTATACATTCTTTGCGCGGGAATGTATACCTCGTCTAATTTAACATTTAACAATCAACGTAAAATTAGACGAGCTTGTGTTTTCCCGGATATATACTCACTTTAAGTACACAGCAAAAAAAAAAAATGTAATATCGATCAATGTAATTCAAACTGAAGTATGAAATAATGATGTAATAGCAAAAAGCAGATACAATATTACATAAATGGATGTAATTTTGTTCGCAAAATCGATGTACATCGTACAACGTTATATTACACAACCGATGGATTGACCTGGTTGCAGCAGTTTGGATGTAATATTCAACAACTTTTTTTTTCTGTGTATATTCATCATGAGCCAGGTAACACAGTAGCGTTGGTGAGTTATTTTCTGTTGTTAAAATTCATGCAAAACTAACTATTTTGTAGTATAGGTGGTACAGTACTCACGGTCAGCCAGTGTTGGTAAATTATTTGCCGTTAATTTTCATGAAACGTTCACTATTTTGCAATGCTATGCAAAAAAAAAATACGACTTCGGAATTCTAAAATACGAAATGCTCATAGTTCATTTTCGTCAAACTAACGCGTCAGTTTTCAAATAGACAATTCAATTCTCTTCATCGACTCTCTCTTTCGTAAATAACTTGGCTACAAAAAATGTTTCCTGTTCCTGTCGTCTTTGTCGTATTTAGATGCTAGATTGTTTGTTGCATGGAAATGTGTGTCGAAAACGAGGTCGAAAATATCTGATCAGAAAAGAGAGTCGATGAAGAGAATCGATCAAGGTAGATAGGAGTTATCAAATAAGTGACGCGACGCGAGATATACCACTATAATGATGGGGAAACCTCGGGGAAACTTTGCACGCAGAAAAATTGATTTTTGTTTCAGGGCCTTTAATGTATTTTGTTATTGATTCAAATATATTATGTCACTATTTAAACAAAACATATGTTTGAATCAACAAAATGGTTTTTAGAATCAACAAACAGATTATTGACTCTACAACCGGTTTGTTGATTCAAAAATATGTTTCTTTGAATTAATCATGTTTTGTTGTTTTTGACATCATCCACATCCAGAGGGCCAGTCACTTCGAATGTATGGGAATGGTAGGAAACCATTTGGAAATGCATGAAAATTTTCAGTTTTTATTCATTATCGTCTTTATGGGCAGTTTAAGATGCACAAAAATTGCCCGAGTACATTACTATGGTGATAAGGTAAACACTCGTTTATTTGTTTCCTTCTGTGAAAGCATGTTTAGTCACAAATCGTGGATTTTATGATATTCTCCATACTGCAAAAAATAATTTCCTACCACTGAAGGGGCGACTTCTCTCGGATCTTCAGTATAGCTACTACTCAAATCATATAATTAATTAATCGAATAATATATTTGAATGAATACCAAAAATATGTTAGACCATGAGACAAAAATATATCCATTTGAATTAATAATCATTTCTCTGCGTGTATCCCTCGCTTTACGGATGGTGTTAGTTTGCGTGGGTGAGCTAAGAGTTTCGACAAATTGCCGATTTAATCTTTGTTTGCTCAAGGAGATGCGGCTATTTGAAAATTCACTGTTGATTAAAATTGAATCAAGTACACGGCGAATGAGAACGACACAAATTTGACTTTTAGTTCACTCATAATCGCCAAAAGTGCAGGAAAATTTGTCTCATGGTTTCCTGTGGAAAACCTAAAACATCTGCCGGAAAATAAGGAAATTGACGAAAATTTTACTCAGTCTCGGAGTAGTACCAATAGACTGAGTGAATCCAATCTTTACTTTTCTCAAATTCGGGAATTTTTCCCTGGAAAAACCTGGGAAAACATGAGGTAAATTAACTCATCGCTGAGTTCCTGCACTTTTGGCGATTATGAGTGAACTAAACTCAAATTTGAGTCGTTCTCATTCGCCGTGTAGTTTTCCCGGAAAAGTGAGAAAAACTCACTCACTGAGCAATATCTCTTACATCCCGTGAGTAATATCTAAGGCGCCAAAATGGAATGACGTCACTACTCACCACGTGTAAATAGTTTTTCGGTTGATGTGGTTCCCACTCCTACTGAATACCAGTATGGGAACTAAGTCTTGTTTGTTGAGAACTGCAGTGGCGTGGCTTTGAGTGTCTACGTTTGTTGGTGTGCTTCGGTTCGGAAATGGAGCTTCCCGAAAAGAGCTTGCCTCGGCATCGCATCGCATTTCGCATTCGTGCAACTGCCGGCAATCCAGCAACATACGTGTTGATTGTTTGTGACTCCTTTGTTGTGATCTCGAAATCGAATGTTTAGTTTTTCGTTTGTTTGATAAAAGAAAAAGTGCTGACTGTTTACATTATTTGATCACTATTTTTTAAAAGTCTAACTGCGCGAAGTGCTACAGTGGATTTAATTTGCTTCGGAGGAAAAGAATTATTTATTTGTGTTTATAAGATATCGCGATCGGTTTGGCTGGATTCATCCCAAGAATAAATTCACTGTTGGAGCATTGCTGGAATGGAGGAGGAGGCTATGGATTTTAGTAAGTGTTTTTTTTTTATTGCTGATAACAAGAATAGTTTGCAACAAGTATAGGATATCGCACGTCTTTATTTTTTGCATTATGTATTCCCGGTAGGGGGTAGGTAACGTAATTTGTCATCAGTATCTTCAGCAATTTTGTAAAGTAAACCCTTTTTTTTACGACTGACGAAGATGTGCGATGCCCTACTTAGTACTTTAATGAGCTATGAGTTATCCTCCATCGTGCATATGACTGCAAAAACGCATCGAGTGTTGGTTATCATCAGTTGGTAATTATTACCGATACCATCACGAAAATAAATATGTGTCGAACACTCGGAAACCTATACTTGTTTGTCAATATTCTTTAATTATCGAGCTATCTGATTGATACTTGATTGGTTACAATCCGTTGTCGGTTATGAATTAATGTTAGTTTTTTTCTGTCACATCTTGACATTTTTAATAAATATATGTGGTTTTGAATTGGATTAAGGGACAATAAATCTTATAAAATACTAACTACCTTTAACATTTAGGTGACGACCATATTACACTGAGGTACACTAAGAAAAATGTTGGCGCAAAATTAAGTGTGTAGAGTGACCACCCCTTGTCTATTTTTGACGTTGTCGAAAATATTAAATTCTCCTTAAGATTCCATTGGAATTGAATCAACTTCAGATACAGATTCCTTTCAAATTCTTATCACAATTCTTTTGAAATTAATGTCAGAACACCTAAGAAGTTCTTGTCAGTATTGCTTTGGTACTCTTGTCTGAATTTGTTTGGACTTGTGGAGTTTTGGATACTTTTTGGAATTATCCTCTGAATTCTCTTTAAAATCTTCTGTCACTTCGTTTGTGCTACTACTGTTGCTACTACTGTATGAGCTATAGGTTATGTGCATGCAAAAAAACCAAGGCATTGTATGTACAGGTGAAACGGGAATTTTATTTGTACGATGGTGCAAACATTATCACGCATACGGTAAATTGTTCATATCCACTCCTGAGCAAGTGGTCAGACTCTCTAAAGAATGTTGTAGTAAATCTATAAATTGAATTTGGCGTTCGATCACTGTTAATTAAACCCATCGTCTTCGGTTTGATGATACCGTGCCATACCTGATTAAGCTATATTTAATTCAGGATCAGTAATTATTTTAAAAACCACCAGTTCCGAAAGTGTTCCAAAACGTTGCAAAACATCTTCGGCAACAATTGAAAAATTGTGTTTTCTGTAACAAAACACATATTCAAATCTCAGGTATTTTTCAAAACGTAGGTTGGACAGAAATTATTCTAATGTCCTTCAGTTTGTCAAATACCTGCATAATGTTCTCTGGATATTTTAGCAATTCTTCTAGTTGATTAATGATTATCTTGTCATGCCTCTTAGATATTCTTGCAAGATAGCATTCCAAAAACGTTCAATTGATCAATGATCGTCATAAGGTTCTCTGGATAATTATTCAATTCTATTAGTTTTTTTTTTTATTAATTACTTTATTTGTACAGGCTCAATCGAATAAACTTTACAGAGCCGAGTTATCATTTTTGTTATACATTATTGATTTCTTATATTTGAAGTTAAAGGAGCTGGACCGGATACTCGCGGTTGTCTCGAGGTTAGTGGGGATTTACATTTTTTTTTGGATGGGAAAAGGGAGAGGGAGGTTTGAAATGTGGTTTACGATACAAATATTTAATTAATCCTAAAACATGAACTAATTTCTATTCATCTTGAAAACAAACATAAAAAACCCACACGTACAAAATACAAACTAAACACAAGGTTAATCAAACTTACAATCTAATGTTAATATTCTTAAAGTAAACATATATGAGTTTCATAAACTCCAGATCGCGTCTAGCCAAAATATCCCGAACTGGAACATTAGGTTGTCTACCTCGAGCCCGAAGGGAATCGTACAGTTCAGATCTGACTCCGCGATGCTCAGCACAAGACCAAATAATGTGATCTGCGTCCTGGTAACCTTGTCCACATTCACAGAGATTGCTGTCCTTCAGCCCAACACGGAACAAGCGAGCGTTTAACGAATAGTGATTGGACATGAGGCGAGACATCATACGAATGAAGTCTCGACCCACATCCAACCCCTTGAACCAAGAACTCTTCGACACCTTAGGGATGATCGAATATAGCCATCGTCCCAAACTCCCTTCACTCCACTTATTCTGCCAGCTGACGAGTGACTGTTGACGATAAATCTAGTCTAGTCTAGTCTAGTCTACACATATACACAGCCAGTACTTGAAAGAATCCTGGAAAATGATACATCTATCATTTTTCTTGTCATTATTAATGCTTGCTGCACATCAAGGATGTGAAACAAACAATAAAGCGGCCAGACCTACTGTGTAGCGTTAAGTTAATTTTTGTGGAAGTGAATGTTTACCATGTCTACTTAATAAGTATAGACAGTGGTTAACATTTAATCCACAGGTAATCAAAGAGCGGGGACATACCGTACCAACCGCTCCGTATGCAGGATTTGAAAATAGGCTATATAAATCGTTGGGAGTGACAGAGCTAAGAAAGTTAATGTACACTCCTTGATTGTCCGATCTCCTGGGATGGAACACAGGTATTTACCCCTTGTGTTCGAGCGTACAGTCCTCCCTCCGTACAAGCGTGGACGGCACCGCCAACCCACTGCCATCCCTCAATCGATCCAGCCGACCTCAGTCGAAGGACAACGGAGAGCGGTGTGCAGACGTAACCTATACGGAGGGAATGCTGTATTCGCCTAGGTTATAGCGCCCTTGCTCGCTACCATTTTCTTCTAGCGGTTGGGACCTGAGCACTAACTCTTGTCCTAGCCCTATATGGCATATGGTTATAGCGCCATTACTCGCTTTCTGAAAAGAGAAGAAGGGAAGGGAAGGAGAGGAAAAGGACTTGGGAAAAGGAAATGCGGAATTCCTTTCCTCATTAGTATTTGTATCGTCAACTTTTATGAAAACTATATAAATCATTCTTCCTTGGTCAGAGGTATTATTACGACATTTGAATAAGATTGTCTTATCATTTCCCTAATAAAAATAACCATAAAAGAGAGCTTAACGACGTGTTCGGGGTATCATCCAAACCCTATGTGGGATGGTTTACCTATCCGAGATACAGTTCGTTTATGGTATTTGTTTATTAGGGTTGTTATTCAAAATTTAATGTTATAATGATCAACATAGCTTTGGATTATCCAATATAAATCGGTAACACTGTCCTGCAACCGATGTAGGAAGCACCAAAGAATATATATAGACAAATCTCAAAAACACAGTTTTAACTGATAGTACTTTATAAACATCAAACTGTCCAATATTGGATCCTGCCAATTATAAGCACCAGAATAAATTGCAACGGACTCACCAAATTGATCCATGAACGATGTCCTGTTACAGTGATCTCCATACTCAAGGGTTGGTTGACTGGGCTCGAAAATAGGTTTTCCTATTCTTAGTATCGGACAAGCGAACCAAAAATCCTGTATGGCCAATCAGTTGATTAGTCAGATGATGAAAGCACAATTGTGGCTGAATGGATTCAGGCTGCTAAACGGAGAATCTGACCCACTTGTAAGGAACACAAAGAGCCACAAAGAACAACCAATGGTGCTAGGTTCCGAGATGATCAGTGGTTTTTCACGAGTGACTGTTGACGATAAATGAAGAAAAATTCATCGTAGGCGATTTGTCGATCGTAAATATCGCCTTCCATAGCGCCCACCTTAGCAAGTGAGTCAGCCATCTCATTGCCCGGAATCGAGCAATGAGATGGGACCCATGCAAAGGTGATGACAAAAGATCTTAAAGATAAAGCACTTAAAAGCTCTCGTACTTTCATGAGAAAATACGAGGAGTGCTTTACCGGCCTCATAGAGCGAATAGCCTCGACAGAACTGAGACTATCCGTAAAAATAAAATAATGATCTGGTGCAAGTGAGGCGATCGTTTCTAGCGTATAATGTATTGCCGCCAGCTCAGCAACATATACGGAACAAGGAGCTTAAGCATTCGAGAGGCGCTATGAAATTCGTTAAAAATACCAAAACCAGCGGACGACTCTATTAGTGATCCATCTGTGAAGAACGATCTTGCGGAATCTTGGCCAAACTTTGCAGCGTAAATTGACGGAACAATCATGGAACGATGATGTTCTGGGATCCCACGAATCTCCCGCGTCATAGATAAATCAAAACTAACTGAATTGCCGAAGTCGGAGAAGCATACACGATGAGGATTATGCTGTGAAGGGCTGACATCCTGTGTTATGTACACGTAGTACAATGACATAAAACGAGTTTGAGGGTTCAGCTCAAGAAGCTTTTCAAAGTTTTCGATTACCAGTGGGTTCATAACTTCGCAACGGGTGAGGAGCCTGAGGGACAATTCCGAGAACCGATCCGATAGTGACAACATGCCCGCCAACACCTCTAGACTCATCGTATGAGTCGAGTGCATGCATCCTAACGCGATACGAAGACAACGATACTGGATACGTTCCAGTTTGATGATGTGAGTTTTATCCGCCGACTGGAAACAAAAACTACCGGATTGTCCGGTACAACGTTAGAAGATCTTGCGGATGGGCTCCCCACCACGTTCCGGTAATTGTTCGGAGAAAATTGATCCTTTGTTGGCATTTTTGTCTCAGATACTCAATGTGGGATCTCCAGGTGCATTTTGAATCGAACCAGACCCCAAGATATTTGAAAGACATAGAATGCGTGATCGGTTTACCCAAAAGTTGAAGCTTTGGTTGTGCTGGGCTATGCTTCCTAGAAAAAACGACCAACTCAGTTTTCTCCGTGGAGAATTCGATACCTAGCTGAATAGCCCAAGTAGACAAATTGTCTAAGGTATCCTGTAAGGGTCCTTGTAGGTCGACCCCTTTGGGCCCTGTCATAGACACTACGCCGTCATCTGCAAGTTGTCTCAACGTGCAGTTGTCACTTAGACAATTGTCAATTTCTCTGACGTAGAAATTATACAA